TAATTTATTAATTTTCGATGAAAAATGCAATAAATCATGAAAATAATGATGCAGCAATGCGAAGCAATTAAGGAGCAATCGTTTTATGTTATATTATGTTTGAATATTCTCGCCGTTGGCTTCTGAGCCATATAGTTTCAATAGGCGGCCGATAGGTGGCGACGGCGTCGCTTTAAAAATTATTAATTTGTTAATTTTTAATAAAAAATGCAATAAATCATGATAATAGTGATGGAACAATACGAAGCAATTAAGGAGCAATCGTTTTATGTTATATTATGTTTGAATATTCTCGCTGTTGGCTTCTGAGCCATATAGTTTCGATAGGCGGCTGATAGGTGACAACGGCGTCACTAAGGAAATGATTAATTTATTAATTTTCGATAAACCGTTTTTTGTAAATATTTCGAAAACTACTAATTTTAAAAGGGGAGCAATTGTGGATTCTGACGGAGCAATTAAGGAGCAATCGTTTGAGCTATAAATTATTAAAAAATATGAACTTCCAGCGCCAACTTATTTTCGGTGAAAAAATTTTCCACGCGCTATTATACAGGTAAGGTACGTAAATCTTTGCATTGTCGATAATAAAACAGTAAATTTACATAAAATGTTTATTTTGTTCTTCAGGCAGTTATATAAAATATCTATACATTTTCGATAATAAAACAATAACTGGATGAATTAAAATAACATGCAGCAAGTTTTTATTCCAATCACACTAAATCCCATAAGACCACCGGTCTTTAATAATATCTCGTCGGTGTAATTGCGCGTTCTCAATCCGACTTATATTTAAATAATTAAAAAATGTCGTTGAAGTATAGAACGAAATATTTTTACTCTAACAATAAGTATTAATACAAAAATAGTTATTGTTCGTAAGGATTGCAACAAAATGATAATTTATAATTTGGATGTTTGTTACTCTGGTTCTTGTACTTTGAGGGAGGTTCTTACTTGCATTTAATCGGTTTAAAAATAATTTTAATGAATTAATGAGATTTTTTCAATAAAAATGACATCAAACACGTGCATGCACTAATGCGCACCGATGGAAATTAAAAGATATTATAGACAAATTTATATAAGAGTAGTGATACAATGCGGATTCTAAGCCAGGGGCTCTGAGGGGGTAATATAAATTTAAAAAAAGAAGATACTTACATTATCCTCCTGGAGCCGCAAGCTCTTCCTCCCAATCTTCCTCCCAATCCTCCTCTTCCTCTTCCTCTTCCTCTTTTCACGCCTCTTCCTCCTCCACCCAATTTTCCTCTTCTTCATACGGCTCAAGCCCAAAAAGCGGCCGCAAATAGAAAATGTCCTCGTATTGATCAGGGTGCACGCATGCCCACTCGCGGGCACCTCGCGTATCGCCCCACAAATTGGCGTGCGCCCAACGCAGATTTTCACGCACCCACCGCATGTATCTGCGGTGGATCACGTCAATTTGTACGAACTGAAATATATTATTAATTAATAAATATCCCACACAATCTCGCACACAAAAACACTGAACACTACTTACCAGATTAAAGCGAAACATTGGCATTTTGAATATTTTCACTTTGAAAATAACGATGCGGCTTTCTCATGTCTCATTGCTGTACATGTCTATTTTCGGATACAGCAGCAAGTATGCGGTTATTGTGGACAAAATTGAACATCTCTCACCGATTCTGTATTACAAAATATATGAAATATACAAAATTTTAAAATACTAAAAAGATTATTTTGCCGTTATCTTTAACAATTACAAGAGAGCTTTATCTATATATACTATAACATAATTTACCTATAAAAAGTTTTAATGGTTTCTTTTATTCATAAATCAAAACATTTCATAGTACCATCTTGTGAGCCAGATATTAACCACATAGGTTCTTCTCATATGAAAGCTCACTTTATTCACAGTTCTTTTATAACCTATAAATACATGCTCCTGTTTTGACCGAGATTGTTTATTTAAATTCCAAACAACCACTGCACCATTTGTTGCTGCTGTCGCCAATATATGATCTATAAAATAAAATAATATTGCAACCTAAACGGCAATCTAATATAGTATATATGAATATAGAATTTTTTAATGTATTTAACACATAGTATTATATTGAGAGAAGATCAACTAAATTAAATATATATAAGTAAGATTGTGACATAAACCAGAAAAAATTCAAACATCTATTTCTTTCTAAATATATATGATAATTGAAGTAAATTGTTAAATTACTATCATTGAGGTTCCAGGCAACATCATTGCAAGAAAAATTAAGATTTAAATTTTTTCCAACCCGAAGATTGCAGGCTTCTTCAAATTTATTCTCCAGTAGAGTAAATATTTTAAAAACTGCAATATAATTCACACCCATATCAATTGCAAGTATGATTGGAGCGTAGCAAATCACAAACGCAAGCGCAGCCGCGAGCCGCTAGTGTGATTCGGGCTTAACGTGTCTGAACACGTCCGTTCCCGCCCGCGGGTGGCGACGAACTTTTTTGGCTATTAAGGCTGGATAAACCAGCCTTTATCTTTATTAAAGGCTAAGGCCGATATTACATTTGTCGTACGACAAACTTTTTAAGCATATTGATTGGCTGCAAAATAGAAACTTTCTTGTCTCTAGAAATTAGCTAATCAATGCGCTTAAAAAATTTGTCGTACGACAAATATAATATCGGCCTCAGACTACGCATTGAAGATTGAGATCGAAGATTGAAGATTGAAATTTGACCAATTAAGACAAAGAAATTTTAGTTTCTTTTATTCCGATTAGTCAAATTCCAATCTTTAATCTTCAATCTTTTATTTTTAATGCGTAGTCTGATACGGGCTTTAGACAAGACCAAACATGTTTCAACACGTTAAGCCCGTATCAGACTACGCATTAAAAATGAAAGATTGAGGATTAAAGATTGGAATTTAACTAATCAGAACAAAAAGGATTAAAATTTCTTTGTTCTGATTGGTCAAATTTCAATCTTGAATCTTGAATATCAATCTTCAATGCGTACTCTGATACGGGCTTAAGACGATCTTAAATATGAAGCAATTAAGGAGCAATCGTTTTATGTTGGATATACTTGCAGTAGACTACGAAAAATATGTTTTTCCAAGAAAATGATTGATTTTTTTTGCTAATATATCATAAAAAGATTAATTATACAAGTGGAGCGATCGCGAATATCATAATAGAGCAAGCGAGGTGCAATAATTCTACCAAAAAGTCAATAAGAAACGTTGATTAAACTCTTTGAGATATAGTTAAAAACAATAGAGCTGTTATATTATGTTTGAATATTCTCGCCGTTGGATGCTGAGCCATATAATTCCGATAGGCGGCCGATAGGTGATGACGGCGTCACTAGGGAAATTATTAATTTGTTAATTTTCAATAAAAAATGCAATAAATCATGATAATAATGATGGAGCAATGCGAAGCAATTAAGAAGCAATCGTTTTATGTTATATTATGTTTGAATATTCTCGCCGTTGACTCTGAGCTATATAGTTTTGATAGGCGGCCAATAGGTGATGACGGCGTCGCTAGGGTAATTATTAACTTGTTAATTTTCAATAAAAAATGCAATAAATCATGATAATAATGATGGAGCAATGCGAAGAAATTAAGAAGCAATCGTTTCATGTTATATTATGTTTGAATATTCTCGCCGTCAGCTTCTGAGCCATATAGTTCCGATAGGCGGCCGATAGGTGACAACGGTGTTGCTAGGGAAATGATTAATTTGTTAATTTTCAATAAAAAATGCAATAAATCATGATAATAATGATGGAGCAATGCGAAGCAATTAGGGAGCAATCGTTTTATGTTATATTATGTTTGAATATTCTCGCCGTTGGCTTCTGAGCAATATAGTTCCGATAGGCGGCCGATAGGTGACGATGGCGTCGCTAGGGAAATTATTAATTTGTTAATTTTCAATAAAAAATGCAATAAATCATAATAATAATGATGGAAAAATGCGAAGCAATTAAGGAGCAATCGTTTTATGTTATATTATGTTTGAATATTCTCGCTGTTGGCTTCTGAGCCATATAGTTTCGATAGGCGGCCGATAGGTGACAACGGAGTCACTAGGAAAATGATTAATTTATTAATTTTCGATGAAAAATGCAATAAATCAT